CCTGACCTAGTCTTGAGGGCCACAGCTACATTGGAGGGGCCCTAAGAGTGGGTCTCTGTCTTCAGGATAAATAATAGAAAGGCTGCTGGGCCCTTGCCTAACAAACTACTGTCACATCATGTCAGTCTCAGTGCTTTCGGATGCACCTAATAGAATCCCCGGCAGAAAATGGCTTACCCCTTTGGGGGTTCTTGTTTTTGTGTTTTCACAGGACAAGTCTGAAGTTGAATTCTTGGGAAGGTTAAAGTAGAAGGAAGTCAGGGCTCAGAGTTTGCTTCCCGGGCCCTCTTGGCCTTCTTTCCCTTTAAGACTCCAAGGTAGCTGCTTTGGTGCCAGCATTCTGGGTACCCTCAACAATACCCACTGGTGAGAAGGGAGGAAGGAAACTACCTTCTGCTCCCTGGGATGATGGGGGCTTTTCCAGGAACCTCTGCATCTTTTGGTAGCCAAGATCAGGTCACCTTCCCCTATTTTTATAACAGGTAAGGCTAGCTAGGAAAGCAGATTCTGCCAAGCAGCCAGGAGGAAAAACTCAGGAATAGTTGTCAGGTAGAGGTCAGCAATGTATCTGAGCTGTATGCAACCATGCTGAGAGGCAGTGAGAATGATGCCATTCCAGCACAGGGCCTATAAGACCTGACTCTTTGGGTGAGGACTGCTCTCGTTTGTGCCCTCTCAGCTCCCAATCTGTCAGTGCCTGACACCTGAGGCAGATATTCAGTAATTTGTGTGGCCAACTGGAGTTGGGTTTTATTTTAGTGCCAGCCCAGGTATGTCATGCCTGTGTGTGAAAGCATGCTCTTCCAGCCTATTTGGTGAGTGTAATAACAAAAAGATGCCAAATTGAGAATACTCTAACAAAGATCATGGCCTGCTCTATGTAAATCCACGCTGTGTTCTCTTAGGGAAATCTTTAGCTAGTATTTTTTACTCAGTATTATCCACAAGTTAAAATTTAAGAGATTTATTAAACTGATCAGGCCAGGAATACTTCTCTGAAAATGAGCTTGCTTTAAACGTTGTTTGTGGGACTACATTGAGTCAGAATAAGGAAGTCATTTGACAAAGATCTAATTGTGCAAGAAGTGCCAGACCTAATTTTATCAGATTAATGTTTAAAAAAACCCTGAAAAAGCAGTTCTGCAAGAACTGCTAAAATGGAAGCTTGTGAACCTAGTTGAGTAACAGTAGGGCCTATCCCCTTCTCAGAAAGGTCTGTGGCCTAGATGCTGCTGTGTGGTTCCCAGAGCAAACACTGTCCTGCAACCATTTCTACCTAAAGTCAGGACCTCAGGCAGGTTGAATGTGATTCCTGCTCTTCTTCATTTGAGCTGACAATTTACAATGGGATGTGGTGAGTGCAGGTCAGAGTCAGTAGCAGGTACATGGTTGAATGATAAAAATGTGTATGTGTGAGAGTGTGTGTGGCTATGTGTGTTGGGGGAAGATATTGACGTCTTAACTGACTTTATTATGAGTCTTCCTGAAGAAGAGACAGTTGGAAAGGACTTTCAATTGAGGGAGGCAGGCAGCTTGAAGTCTGAGGAGGAATGTTCTCCAGCCAGGATCAGCCACATTAGGAATTCAGAAGTTCCCTTTCCTGCTTTTTGTTTTTTTTTTTTTTTGAGACAGAGTCTCACTTAGTTGCCCTGGCTAGAGTGAGGGCCGTGGCATCAGCCTGGCTCACAGCAACCTCAAACTCCTGGGCTCAAGCAATCCTACTGCCTCAGCCTCCCGAGACTACAGGCATGCGCCACCATGCCCGGCTAATTTTATCTATATATTTTCAGCTGTCCAATTAATTTCTTTCTATTTTTGGTAGAGACGGGGGTCTCGCTCTTGCCCAGGCTGGTCTCAAACTCCTGAGCTCAAACGATCCGCCCGCCTCGGCCTCCCAGAGTGCTAGGATTACAGGCGTGAGCCATTGTTAAATAAGAGGTAAAAGCAAGAAAGGGGGCTGGGCGCGGTGGCGCATGCCTGTAGTCTCGGGAGGCTGAGGCAATAGGATTGCTTGAGCCCAGGAGTTTGAGGTTGCTGTGAGCCAGGCTGACGCCACGGCCCTCACTCTAGCCAGGGCAACTAAGTGAGACTCTGTCTCAAAAAAAAAAAAAACAAAAGGAAGAAAAATAAAATAGTTGAAGTTCCCTTCACTGGCAGCCCATGGCATAAACTGAGAGGGGAAAAAAGTGGACAAGGGGTGAGGGGTGAGTCACTAGGCAGCCTGGAGAGAGAAGAGTTTGGAAAGTTCTGAGTTCTCATCCTGGAGAGAGAGCATGGCTTAGGCCACACTGACCCTGTACAGGAAAGGGGAGAGCTGGAGTGGGAAGTCTGTCCCCATGGGTCTAAATGACAGATCACTGAGAGGGCCCTAGGTCCCTAGACTTTCCAATTCAGCATCTGTGGAGATGGGCCATGGACCTTACGTTTTCACAAGCATCCAAGTGATTTTTGGGCATTGTACATTTGGCTCCTAGAATGGGACCTGGTACATCCCAGATTGGCTATCTAGCTTCAGTTCTAGTTGCTCCCCTGAGACTGCATTAGCTGAGGACTACTCAGTCCACAAGCACTTGTCCCAGCTGACCATTTTTATGAAATATCAATTCCCTTGTGTACTTGAATCCATCCTTGCTCCTTCCCAGCTACGCCTCTCTGCCACTTCACATCTTAACATGAAAGGATTGTGAACCCATAGGCCTCAGGACTAGGCCCCCTGATCTTTTCTTGCCACTTTTCCCAGGTGACCTCATCCTCTCCGGTGGCTACTATTCCCTTGGCCAAGCCACTGCCTTTTTTTTTTTTTTTTGAGACAGGGTCTTGCTCTGTTTCCTAGGCTGAAGTCATCATAGCTCACTGCAACCTCAAACTCCTGGGCTCAAGTGATCCTCCTGCCTCAGCCTCCAGAGTACCAGGACTTACATGTATGTACCACAAAGCCTGGGTAATTTTTCTATTTTTTGTAGAGATACGATCTTGCTATGTTGCTCAGGCTGGTCTCGAATTCCTGGCCTCCTGGTGATCCTCCCTCCTCAGCCTCCCAAAGTGCTAGGATTACAGATGTGAGCCACCGTGCCCAGGCCATAGGTCCTCTATTTTCAAAGCACCCTGTATTACCTTGTAGAACTAAACATACTTTTTAAGTAATTATATATTGTCCTTCTGTCTTCCTGAGGCACCCAGCAAAGCACATAGTACAGGATTGAATTGAGTGTTGCGGTAAGTCAGCAAAGTGCTTTTAGGGAAGAGAGATGTGGGGCATAGGGGTCACAGGTGGCCTGGGTGTACCCAGATTTACCCAGATGTGCAGGTTGCTACTCTCATTCAGAAGTCAGATTTGAAGTCTACAAATGATCCTCAAGAAGTCCTGGCCCCATTTGAGTAGAAAGTTCTTACAATAAACCAATATTTGCTGATGAATATCAAATGCCAGGTCCTGTGGGCCCTGGGATGGCTAGACTCAACTTCTGGTGAAGCAGATGTCACTCACAGATGCAATCGAGACTCCCAGGAGTTCTGAGAGGAGGAACACAGGTAGAGTAGGACCCAAAGGAGTGGATAGTTCTGCCTGCGTCACCTCAAGCAGGACTCAAAAGCTGACGTGCGACAATATTTTACTGTTAAAAAAAATATGTATAAAAACAAAATAGGGAAGGAAAAAAAAAAGCTGAGGTGGCTCACGCCTGTAATCCTAGCACTCTGGGAGGCCAAGGCAGGAGGATTGCTTGAGCACAGGAGTTGAACACCAGCCTAAGTGAGACCTTGTCTACTAAAAATAGAAAAATTAGCCAGGTGTCTTGTCTCACACCTGTAATTTCAGCTACTCAGGAGGCTGAGGCAAGAGGATCACTTGAGCACAGGAGTTGGAGGTTGCAGTGAGCTAGGAAGATGCCACTGCATTCTACTGCCATCATCTACCAGGGGAACAGAGTGAGACTATCTCAAAAAGAAAAAAAAAAAAAAACTGAGGTGAAGAGGCCTTGTAGCTAGAGGGAGGTAAGCCCAGTGCAGGAGTTTTGATGGGTGGAGGAGGGGCTTTATCCCTTAGTGACCTAAGGGCACACAGAGGGTGGCAGCTAAGATCCCTGCTTAGGGCCAGAGGAAAAGTTGTGAGTTGGTTCAGACATAGGAAAAGGCCTTGAGCCACCAATTTGAGCACAAACACTGGGACTCCAGAACTTCTGGCCCACATTCTGGACTGGGTGAATGACACTGCCAACATGTGTCTGGGTTCCTGTATGCTCAAGCAGAAGCTGCATCCAAGCCCTGCACAGTCCCCTGCACTGTGATAGGAAATGGCTCTAGGTCTGTCTTGAAAGATTATTGGCATCAGGGCCAACAGATGGAGAGGTGGGACCTAAGCGGTGCTCCAGAAGCAGCAGCTGGCCTCTAAGATATGCCCCTATCCTGGGCCTTAACACGCAGTTGCATCTAAGTGCTGGGCAGGGCATAGTCAGAAGGGCCAGTTAAATTGAACACTCTTCTCACTGAATACATGAAAGGCAGCAACTGATAAGAACAGCATCTCAGCAGATATAAGCACTGAGTAGCAATATGTAAAGATGTAGCAAAGTAATGGGAAAAGAACTTGTAACATTGCCCAAGTGTCCAACTGTAAAAAGGGCTTGTGTAGGTCTAACATTTGGAGACGCAGCAGACTCCAAATATGAGTGAAGGCCCATATTATTTTGTGAAGGTCATTTCAATGACCAGCAAATACTCGGCAAGGAGAGGCCTACTATTTGGGTTAGGCAGTCAATCCTTGCCTTTTGTTTTCTTTTAGGAGTACGAACTTTGTTGTAACAGAGCCTTGGGATGACTCTATCACATGTCCTGGCAGAGGGAGAAACCCAGGGATAGGAGCCAGATTTCCCATATAGGAAAGAGTGGCTCCCACAAGCTGCAGACAAAAAGGACAGGAAGTTCAAACTTGGCTAGGATAAGGGGGAAGAGGGGACTAAGCTCCCACTCGCAGTAGATACTGACATACGACATACACACAGTTCTGTTGACACTCAGCACTTTATTAATGAGGAAGCTCACCTTGCTTTGGCAGAGGGGAGGCTGGGAGGGACAGGGCCAGCGCCCATCTCTGGGGATTTTCCCGGACATCAGGTGTTCCTTCATGCAGGTTTAGAAGGAACACCATCACGAATGAAACCCCCCAGAGAGCAGCACTGCTACTGCCAGGCAGCGGGGGTAGGAAAGGCACCCTAGGACAGCAGGGCTTCAATGTCTGGCTCGATGTCGATGGTCGGAAAGCAACGGCTGTACCTGCGCACAGGCACACCGTCAGGACCCACCAGGAACTTCTCAAAATTCCACGCAATGTCGTTGCGGCACACCGGAGACCAGATGATGAACTTGGGGTCAGTCATGAGCGCAGTGGCGTCGTCGCTGGGCGCTGGCAGGGCTTCCCGAAGGAAGGCAAAGAGCGGGTGCGCCTTCGCACCATTCACCTCGCACTTCTCGAAGAGAATGAAATTGGGCTCGAACCCGCCGCCAGGACGGACGTACTTGAGGGAATTCAGGATCTCTTCGTTCTTGGCGTTCTCCTACGGGAGAGAAGAGCATCTAGGACCCGGGGCCGCGAGGGGAGGAAAACATTCTAACCACAAACAAGGGAGTTTTTCGATGAGTCACCAGGATGTCGTCCTCCCTTGCTCAAGCCCAGGGCAGACCGGAATTCCAGCCGCTAGGAGTACGGGAAGGGAAGGGAGCCGGTGGCCCGCCTCTCAGCGCACGGGTGCCGCGGCTGCCGGGCCGGGCACACTACCCTCCGGCGCCCCCGACCACGACTGCACGCTCACCCTCGCCCCACCCCGCCTGGCGCACCTGATGCCCAAACTGGTTGCACGGGAAGCCCAGCACGACCAGGCCCCGGGGCCCGAGGCGCCGCTGCAGCTCGTTCATCTGGGTGTAGTCCCGGACCGTGGTGCCTCAGAGCGACGCCACATTCTCGATGAGCAGCACCTTGCCCCGCAGGGAGCTCAGGCTCACAGGCTCCCCGCCAGCCAGTGGGCGCGCCGAGAAGGCGTACACGGACTGGGTCCCCGCCGCTAGCCGAGCAGCACACATGGTGTGGGTGTCCGAGAAGCAAAGGAAGAACTTCGGACCAGGACAGCTAAGTGGCCCTGGCGGAGCCTCCTTTTAACTGCTCCGCGGTAAGGTCACGTGGCGCAGGCACTTTTCCGGACCTGAGGGTCCCGCCTCATCCGGCCTCCTCCCTCCCCGGAGGGCTTGGCCCCTCCTTCAGCCTGGGGACAAGCGCGGGAGTGCGTCGGGGTGGAACGCGGGCTCCACCCAAGCCAGGAGGAGCCGCGGACACGTCAGGTCAGGCACAGTCAATTTAGCACCAGCCAGGCAGCAGCCTTCTGGGTTACCCCGCCAAGGGCCAGGGCCCTTGCTGGGGAGTGGGCCCTGGATTCTTTTCCAAAGCTTCCTCAATTAGGGTGGGGGCTCCAGCCTAGGACGATGGATGGGTATGGCCAGGACTCTAGGCCTCAGGTCTCCCTCCTCCCTCTCTGCCCCCAGAGCGGCACCGCCCTTAAGCACGTTTTCTAATAGCATAGTGCCCAGGAGGCACTGCCCCAGCCTCCTGGAGTGGAGCCCAATAGCGCGCCAGGGCCAAGGAAACCCAGCTGCGAAGAGTAACACCTCATCTCAACAGGCTGCATTCCCACCCCAGCCCTGACTCACAACTAGAATGGGGCATAAGAGGTGGTTAGTGCTGGGTGAGTGGGGGGTAGGGCCCAAGCTGATACACAGCACCCTGAAGGAACCTTTCCAGGATGAGCTAGGCCAGGAGGGCTGAGTTCTTCCATCCTCCTGCCCCCAACCCTGGAGAGAGCAACACAAACACCAGGATACAGAAGTTTAGAAAACTGCCTTTATTCTATTAGTAGTTGGAAAAATTAACTGGTACAGAAAAAGTTTAGTCAGCTGGAGAAGAAAGAAACTGAGTGCCGCAAATGACAACTGGTGGCTCCTCTGGGAGGGAACCTGGATACAGTGAGGAGAAAGGAGCACTGTGAATTAGAGCCAGATGCTGCAGTCCAGGTGAGACAGGTTATGCCACCTTCCAAAGTGTCTAATTGCCTCAGGCGTGAAACCAATTCCTATTAGCCCAGCTCTAGAGAGGGGTACTGGGACATGTGGGGCTGAAAAGGGGTGATATGGCCATCTTTTATCAGAGAAAGTGACAAAACGGGAATTTTAAAAATGAATTTTCCATCTGACTTTATTTCCAAATACACTTTCTTTTTTTAAAAAACCAATACACTTTCTTTGGGGATGACAAATATCAGTATTAGGAAATCCAATTATACAAAAAATACTACATCTAGTCTGGGGGTAGATATATTTATTTTTGGTAACATACATTAAGTGGCACTAATTACACAGTAACTATAAGGTAACTAACATGAAACCACAGAACTGTAACTCTGCCACAGCTGCATGGACTTGGGCCTTTCTGGCTGAGCACATTTTCAAAAAACTGGATGCGCTCACCCCAGAACTATGCCAATGAAATCTGTTAAGGAGTAAAGCTCTGAAGTGGTGACTCACCAGAGTACCTTGCAGCTGACAGATGATAGGCAGGACACGGTAGTTATAAAGTAGTTACAGCCTAATTCACAAAAGTTACCAACTGTTTCTCTTTCTAGAAAGAAGCAAGAAGTTGTTAAGAAATTCCTTGAATTAGCGCCTGGTGTGTCAGGTGGGAGTGCAGAAAAGGGGTGTTAGAGCAGTGTCAGAAGGACCCTGGAGGGCCAGACAGGTTGGACATCATTATAATCATGGTTGGCTTCTAAATACTGGTAGCAAGATGACTTCTGATTTGTAATCTTAGGTAAATTATAGATAAATGAAAAAGGCTAGTCATCATACACTAAGATTAATAAACAGCACTTCAAAATTAACCGCATAAGGGCTGTGCTTGCAGCAAGGTTTCACAAGACAAGGCACCCAGATTTTTTCTTTCCACGTCTGGCTTGCAGAGCAGCTCTCGTAGCCATTTCAAAAACCTCCCTCACTCCATCTTTGGTTTTTGCTGAACACTCCATGTACCCAAAAGCGCCAATCCTGTTCGCCATATCTCTGCCTTCTTCAGGTTTTACAGGCTCCTAGCAAAGAGAAAAAAGTGCTTTCAGCTGACAGTGTTACATACATATAGGAAACAGGCGTAGAGTATTCAAATTCAGCTAAAAGACTTCTTTTAAAAGCTGCCAAACTCCCAGATTTGAGCTCTGTTTTATGAAATTCTGAAACTAATATGCACTGATTACCTTCCACCCTCAAATATAAAATATCTATTAAACATGATCTTCTTTGGGAAGTAGAGAAAAATAGGGAAGAGGTCAGAGGCACTCTAGAAGGTTAAGGAACATATGAAGGGCAAAATTACTCGCGCTACCGATCCAGGGCAAGCTCTTGGGTCTTTTTTAGCTTCACAGAGAACTGAATGCTCGAGGAAGGAAATAAAGTCTGTCCCTTGACATTTGGATAGAGAAACCTCAGTAAGAGAACCTGGGTTTCAAGTCTCAACAATGAAGACCTCAACACTCCTGCAGTGAGGAAGTCCTGCCATTAGGCCACCTGGATTTTGAGAAGCCAAGATGCCACCTCCCTCATAACTTTTATAAAGGAATTAGGACTTTCTGTGTGGGCTCACTGCCTTCAGGAAGAGATCTTTCGACTGCCACTAATTTATCTTTGGCTTCACATGTACCAAGGTAATAACTGGAGAAAGAAAATCAAGAATCTGATAGAGTTCCTGTATCTGAAACATTGACTATTGCTGAGATGGTTCCTTGTTGTCAGGCTGGCAGTCCTTGGGGGCACAGCACTGCTCATAAGAGACATTCCATCTCACAGACCAAGGGGTTTTAAGGATCCTCTGTGCAGATCCCTGTCAGTGAGAGCCAGGTGGACAGAGACTGGCTTTTAGGCCTCTAAAACCTGGCCTGTGAAGGCTTCTGCTAAGCTCCTCCAACCTTTAATCTTGGGGACCTGGTTCAAGAATGCTGCAGGAAGAAGACAGCCCTGCCCCAGACCATGCCTGCTTCATCTTGGCTAGCTCCCGCCTTGTGTGCTCATCATTCCGAAGATCCTTCTTGTTCCCAACCAGGATGATGGGCACATTGGGACAGAAATGCTTGACTTCTGGGGTCCATTTTTCTGGGATGTTTTCTGAAAGAAGAAAAATGCACAGAATTTGGGGATACATATAATTCTATCTTGAAGAATCTCCAAGAGCCCTAGTTAAATTGCAAACACTATTCCTGTGTTGCTTCAGAGGAATGCTGGATATTTAATTGAATACCATTAGTTTTAAAACCACAGAGAAAGGCAAACTCTAACCCCCTTCCCTTAAACATAGAACCACCAGCTTTTCTTAGTCCCATCAAAAGTGTTGCTCAACTCCTCTGGAAGTGGGGCCCAAGTAAGGGCTTTGGAGGAGCAAAGGATCCAGAATACAGAGTGGCTCTACAATGCTACCACCTGCCCCCATGCAGGCTCCCTACAGGCCGTCAACTGTGGCAGATGATTCTGACCCTAGATTACTGAAAGGGTCCCCATTCTGGGGCAGCAACTGGCCAAGGGTCCACATGTTCTCTTTCTACCTTGCTCATGGGCCCTTAGCATGACCTCCAACCTGTGGGTTACTGGTATTTCAAATGGCTCAAGAGTGACTTTTGAAAATAACCAAAAGATAAGCAGCTGTAGGTTCTTGCCAACACTGTACTAACTTGGAAAAGTTGTGCATAGATCATGGTGGATGAGGGCCCAAATTTAACCTCCCATGACACCTTGGTCATCTAAGTGTCAGGGATGATTTCTAAAATGGGGATTATAATACTTACCTTACACAGGGTTATTTTAAGTCAATGCCTACAAAGTGCTTGGTGTGACAATCATTCAGACGGTACTGTTATTTGAGATGTATTTTGGAGGCAAACTATTCATTCTCTGACTTCAAGACAAATTACCAAAAGGCAGGGGTTACTTAGAATATAGAAAGATGCTCTGTCTTCTGGCTGAAAGACTATATCAGGTAAAGAAGCTGCATGAATAAAGTCAGGAAAATCTCTTATAATTCACTTATCTACTCTTTAGCACACAAGATGGATACTGAACCCCTTCTTTGTTATAGCAGCTACAGGGTCAATTATATCGCTAATGTGACAACTTGAAACTCAAAGCCTTATTCTGGAATAATGAGGTTCCCAAAGAAGTGCAGTGTCCCAGTCCTCATGGCAATAATAAAGAGAGAAGGGCCAGCGCACCTAACTGTGAAGTTAAACAGCCTCAGCATTGAACCTTGCTCTCACCCCAGCATCCTGTGGTCAGTTTTCAGTTCAGCTGCCATAGTGATCCCTTTAAAGGTGAGATTACACTGGTCCCTTATTCAGACCTTCCAAGAGCTCCCATCTTATTAATGATGAAAAGAGAGATCCCCCCACAATCGCACAGATTTTGCAATCCTCACCCACAACCCCTCTGCTAAAGTTGCTCTGATTCCTTCCTCCCTCCTGCCTCAGTAACTTTCTGCCCACCATTTCCCCTGCCTGGAAAGCTCTTTTATTAGATATCTCCATGGGCCTACACCACCTCCTTCAGGTCTCCACTCAAAGGCCACTTGTTCACTGAGACTGTGGACTCAAGTGATCCTCCTGCCTCAGCCTCCCAAGTAGCTGGGACTACAGGCACACACCTTTATCCAGGGCAACAGAGCTGAGACTATCTCAAAAAAAAAAGTATATTGGATTTACTGTTACTTCCACTCCACCCCTGGAATTTGGGGCATGTAGAATTAGAATGAATTGCCTCCGTCTTATCTTTTATCTTCACTTTCAATGAGTAACTTCCAAGCTTATTTTTTTACCTTTTTACTTTTTTTTTTGGAGACAGAGCCTTGCTCTGTTGCCCTGGCTAGAGTGCAGTGCCATCGTCATAGTTCACTGCAACCTTAAACTCCTGGGCTCAATTGATCCTCCTTTCTCAGCTCCCTGAGTAGCTGGGACTACAGGCTCATACCACCGTGCTAGACAATTTTAAATACACATTTTTTTTGTATAGACAAGGTATTGCTATGTTGCTCAGGATGGTCTTGAGCTCCTGGCCTCCTAAAGCGGTAGGATTATAGGCATGAGCCG